GTCCTCCATTGTTTTGGTTTTGATGCCTTTGCACATGATTTGATGGAAAGCTTTACATGCGTGTGCCTTTCACAGATAATCTTTTTCTCATCTCATGAAAACTTCTTTTATCTACACGTGTACATGTGGGTGTCTTAGTTAAATCAAGTTAAAGTTAAACAACAAATATAACATGTTCCTTACCGGTTTCAGGTCACCATGAACAATCTTCATGCCTTTGAGTATTTGAAGACACTTAAGCACATCTGTGGCATATTTTCTAATGTCCCCATCATGGAGTCGTCGCATCTTGCTCTGCATTAAGGCTTTAAAGAGGTCCTTTCTGAAAAGAAATCTGAATTGAATTTTCAGAAGTTCTCTTGCTGCACGAATCAGAAGTTCCGGTACGGCTACAGGATGAAATATAAAAATGTCAACTTACTCAAAAAGGTCAAACGTGATGCACAAATGGCTGCGGAAGTAAAAGTATTCCTTCATGTGAACTATATTGGCTTTGTTGCTCTTGTCTAACTTTTGCAGGGTTTTCAAGACTTTTAATTCTGCCTCTGCGAACCCATGACCCCTAGAAGCAAAAACATGTCTAGGGTCATTATTTTTTTGGTGTATGTGTGATGAATTTCATATAAAATGTGCAGTACTCAGTGCAAATTTTAACAAGCGTAAGAGGTAGTGATTTTCCTACGTAACACAAAGTTGAATTGAAGTCGAATCTTGGCATTGCCTATTATTAACGCTTGTGAACTATGCTAAGCATGCTAACAAAGCAGTCAAGTCATAGTTATGCCAAATATTTGCATGAAGACAAATACAGTGGTACCTCTACTTATGAAATTAATTGGTTCCGGAAGAAATTTCTTCACTAGAAAATTCTGTAAGTCGCGTTTTCCATGTAAATGTCCTAATCCGTTCCAAGCACCCCCCTTCCCCAAATTGAGACATAAATGTTTTCTAAAGAATAAAAATGCATTAAAATATGTCAGAAACATGTTACAAATTACATTATTGCACAATAAATGAGAGTTGTGCATTATGTAAAAAACAAAGAATAAATAAAAATGGTGGTCGTGTAACTTTTAACTGCGTCCTCATCGTTTTTTGCCCTCTTTTAGTTCATGTTCTCTCTCTGAGGGGGTTTTTGCCAAGCGTTTTGTAAGAACGTCGACTTTTATCGGCTTTTAACAATCCTTTTAAAACGTCCCAGACAAACATCAGCAGAGTGAGCGATCGCCCGACTGGTGAACACTTTTTCTGGGGATTCATATTTACGTAAAACGGAACACCTCATGGCCCGAAAGGCGAACAATGAGGACACTGCATAGACACATATCTATCTATCTACACACATGAGCATACGGTAGAGGTATCTCTTAGCCAGTGGGATGCTAGGAAGATGCTAGGTAATAGCCAATGGCAGAGCAGCTTGTTGCGTTCAGGAAACTCCGAGCTGCGAGTAGCAATCCATACTGTATTTTTACCTTTCATATCTTCAAATTTCTTTTATAACTAGAGGCAATATTTTCCTCTGGAGGCGTTTCGTAACTTGCAATTTTCGTATGAAGAGACGTTCGTAAGTAGAGGTGCCACTGTAAATGGAAAATATTCAGTAGGCTTCAGCAGTTAAGTGAGCCTGGCGAATGACAACACATTTTAATGCTACTGTGCAAAGGAGCTCATTGTGCAACATTCGTAACCTCAAAATGTTATTGACTATTCATTTATCAATCAAAGTTTTGTGCACGTTTTCATAGAATACAAATTCTGTGCTTAAACCAGTATATTTATTTATTTATTAATTTAATTTTACCGAACTAACTGTAGTCTTTTTTTCTACACATTGGTTTGGTGACATCTTACTCGGTTGTGTTTCGAAAGACCTTGACTGCCACCAGCATTGTTGTCTTGTGGTCCTTGCACTTTAGGACTTTTCCAGCAAATCCTGATCCTATCACCCTCAATATTTCAAAGCGGTAAGCCAGGTGATCGCCAATCCTCTGTTGATGACAAAGTCATTGAGCAATGAATTGATGAGAAATATGTCAAGCAGTGTTTCACAATACACACTACAGATGTGCAGAAAAAATATTTATAAAGAGTGCCTGTGAAGTGGTGCAGAGAGGGTGGTCACTCCAACTTAGATATTTTGGGGATCCGAAAGAAAAAGATTTGTAGCAGGGGAATTCAATTCAATGTTATTGACACAAAGAGTGAATGACAAAAATTGACAAATGTCATATTACAAGACCGTCCAGGTATACCATATTTAAACTTCATTTTTGCCATTTTTTTTCAAGTCTTAATCATGTCATTAAGCTTTCCATTGAAATCGCAGGAAACCTGAATCTAAAACATTGGCAATGCCAGTTATGAAAAAGCACTTCGGTTATAAACCGGGGTTGATTGCGGGGAAATACCGGTATGAAAAAAAAAATAGTAAAATACACAAAGGTATAATTTATGTGGTTTCTATTGAGAAGCCACTCATCTCATTACCGTCACACAATGTTACAATGTTGTCATTTTGTTATCATATCTCCACTTCCAGGCTAAAAAAAAATAGACCTCTGCTGATGTTAAATTTAGTTTTCTTTTCACCCTGTGCTGGTAATATACAATAAGCTGCTGTATGAACTTTTCACCAGTAGAGTGCTAACAGACGTCCATCCATCCATCCATTTTCTGATGCGCTTATCCTCACAAGAGGCGTGCTGGAGCCTATCCCAGCTGTCTTTGGGCAGTAGACAGGGTACACCCTGAACAGGTTCCCAGCCAATGACAGGGCACACATTAACAAACAACCATCCGCGCTGACACCTTGGGACAATTTTGAGTGTTCCATTAGCCTGCCATGCATGGTTTTTTTGGGGGAATGTGGGAAGAAACCGGAGTACTCGGAGAAAGGCCAAGCAGGCACGGGGAGACCATGCAAACTCCACAGAGGAAGGCCGGAACCGGAATTGAACCCTGCACCTCTGCACTGTGAAGCCGATGTGCTAACCAGGTGCCCACAGTGCTGCCCACTAAAAGACAGATAACTGTAATTATGCGCCAAAGAGGCATACTGCTTGTAAGACGTGCGTCGCACGGTTACCGTGACATGTGAATTTTCTAAATATGGTGTACATCACATATGTCAAAGTGCCGGCCCGCGGTCCAAATCCGGCCCGCGAGAATGTTTTCAGTGGCCCCTGGGATGATATTGATTTATTATTAGAACCGGCCGCGGACCGCAGCAAGCCGAGAGCCCGCAGATCTTTTACACGCACCAATACTACATTTCCCACAATGCAACGGTGACGCGCCAAGCAGTCGGCCGCTTTATTTAAATATTTATTAGTCTAGCAGTCGTTCCCATAACAGTGACATTAGCTTTCAGATACCCATCAAAAATGGCAAAACGGAAGGTGGACACTGAGAACCGGGGGTTTCAAACAAGGTGGGTGTCGAAGTATATGTTCATGGACGTAGCTGGAAAACCTGTGTGTCTTCTGTGTGGAGAAAGTGTGGCGCGATTGAAATAGTGTAATCTGAGACAACATCATGAAACGAAACACACAAACAAAAACAAGAACATGGACATGGAGGGGGAAGGGGGATTTCATTAAAAACGGTATACTTAAAGTTTGTGACGAAGTTTACCCCGAAAAAAAGCAACTCTTTTTAAACGTGAGCATTAGCAG